AGCGGCGCTCCTCCTCGCTGGAGCGGCGCTGCGAGCCGTCCCCCGAGCCGCAGGCAGTTTCAGCTGCTTTCCGCATCACTGAGATTCTCAGATGGCGCACGCATCTCTCCGTCATTGCCCTGCCCCTGTCGCTATCTCTTTCTCTCCACTCCGCCCGCGTCGTCTGTTCCCACACGCTGGCGGTACACGCGTCCCTCAGCCGGCTCATCTGGCCAGCGCTGTTATGACGTCATATCGCCGACATGCCGACCCCTCGGGTCACTCGGGGGTTGAGCGTCCCCCACCTCCGCGCCGCCGCGAACCGGCACTGGGGTAGCCGGAGGGTGGAGTCCCCACCGAGGACATCTAATGGCAATATGTGGGTGGCACGTTGGACGCTTCGCAACTAGCCCAAGCATGATTTTGTGCATGCATACAAACGGGCGTGCGCAGAATTTCTCAATAGGGCCAGGAGACAACTTTACAAATAGCACTGAAAACTGCGGTTATTACACCACAGGCAGGAGCGATTTTTTATCTTGTAAAATGTCGCATTTTTTATTTTGTTTTCACGCGTGTACCTGACATTTCAACCATGAACATCTCGTCACGTACATTAATGCAGGCCACAACATTAGCAAGAAAAGGGCATACGGTGAGGAAGACTTGAAGCTTTAGAGCGTATCGACTGTAAGAGGTCACGCAGCATCCATTCAACGGGTTGCATGTGCGTACAAAGTTGTGCGTGAGTCCGCGGATTTTAGCGCACCCCTGTTATTCAAACACACAATCCTTTTTTTGGTGATTTAGGATCGAGGCCTCTCAGGCTGATAGCGCTCGCGAGGATGAAGCGCTCTAAGCCAAAAGCCTAAAGAAACCAATAACTATACGCACGGCCGAAGAAGAGCGCTCTTATCATTAGCGTTCAGCGTCACAGCTTGTATTGATAAAATTCAGCCTTTCAGATTACACACATTATATATATATATATATATATATATATATATATATATATAGAAGATGGAACTTGTACTCAGGATTTAGCCAAGGCGGGGTGGCCCGGTGGCCGGCTGAACGCCCTTCGTTAGGGTAGAGGATCAGTTTAACCCCCTGTCAGATCTCAGAAACTAAGAGAGCTAGACACCAAATTCGCAGGGTGTATAAACGTGTACGTGAACTTACTTGTGTCAAAATTTGAGGTTCCTGGGTCATAACCGTCAGGTCATATAAGGCTAAAATTCAGTGATCTTGTTTGAATTTTCCAAGGTCGTAGTGACTTAACTTGTAAAAGATTGCTTTCAGTTCTGCATTTGAATAAGCGTCCAGGACTACACCACGCAGTGTATTCCTAAAAGCAAAATGTTGACCGAGATAATTTTAGGTCAGTGACTCCTTTTGACGTTAAATAAGTCTATGGAACATATGTAGCATGGTTCCTGTCAGCAACAAATCAAAAATGAGCACCAGAAGCTACCCCATGCAGCGAGTTCGAGAGCAATATTACAGGTTGGTTTTAACGTTGATCTGACTTTCGTACTAGACCCTAAGTCAATTGAATTTCTCAATTCAACAGTTGTGCCGCGTAAGAAACTATCTCAGCGATGTGTGGTTTCGTCTAACGCTCCGCTGTTGCATCAGATTAAACGCTTTCCCAGAAATTGTCTGTTGAATCCATTACCTGAATTTGACCTGCCGCAGGTCAGCAACATTGCCAACTTAAATTTTGGCAAAGAACCCGCCATTCCATTTTCTACAGATACACAAAATTTAGTGCGGCTACGCAGCGCCGTTCCGAAATAATTCCGGGAAAGCCTTCGGGGGGGGGGGGAGGGCCAATTGACCCCCCGCCCGAGCGCGCATCACTGAAGAGCCGGGATATTACTGTGTCCTCTGGACCTAGTTGTCTTATAAAAATGAAGATTTTGGGCAACTTATGGCACATCCTAGAATTGAGTGCTTCTGACAAGTATAGGTTATGATGCTCCGAAATGAATGCTTTTGATATATTTTCACCGCACGGGCCAATGCAGAATTTTGTCAGAAGGAATAGCACAGAAGTTGTAGTGCCTGTGGTTTCGGTCCGCTTTTACAATGCGGCGTTGGGCTCTTTAAAAGGCCTGCTTGGATTTGGTACCTGTTGAAAATGACGATTATGGTGCCTCGCAATGAAGGTTTTGGTGCCCACTCGCCCAGGAGTCCGACGCAGTTTCATCAGGGTGGAAGGCACGACATGGCTATGCCACTGAAATGAAAGTTTGTTTGGTGCTAGCTTACCAAAACGACAGCTCCAGGATTTCGTCAGGGGACACGGCACGGACACTGTGGTTCACTGGAATTTGGTGGCTCGAAAATGGAGGTTTGTGCCCCTTGTGGTGCCCCTAGAATCTGTCACCTTTCGAAAAAAGATTATGTGGTTCCGAAATAAAGGTTATGGTGCCTCTTCTGAGATTTTGGTGTAAAGGATACCAAAACCTGATGGACCCCGAGAGGGATGGGGGAGGGCACGGCCACATGGCTCACCCCTTTGGATCCGCCCTGACACCACCATCCCCAGCGGGCAGGTGGTAAGTGGGTAGGGGAAAGGCATGGCCTGAAAAGCTCACATTGCTGTAATGATTTTCTGTACAGCGTACCATTCTGCCGGCTGTTAAGCCTTCTTGTCTCACGCCCAGGATGGCTCGACACCCGGCCGGTTGCCAGACTGATTCATTGGCGCACAACTTATGAGATATATTTATGCTCCCAAAGCTAGTGGAGGAATAATGACATTTCCAGTATGTTGCGTGCAGGCACATACACACACACACACACACACACACACACACACACACACACACGCGCGCGCGCGCGCGCACGCACACACACACACACACACACACACACACACACACACACACACATGTGTGTGTGTGTGTGTGTGTATAATAAGACAACTACTAAATAAGACAACTAGGTCCAGAGGACACAGTAATGTCGTCCATTGTCCAATTCGGCGTCCATGTGTGGCAGGCCAGACAGAGCCACGGGCAAATCCCGCGGCAACGACGGCCGTGCTTGAACGCATCTGTCACATTCTCACCGCACGCGGAGCACGGCGGCCCACCCGCGCGGCACGGCTTGTCATGCCTGTTCAGGGCCTCTACCGAGGGCAGACACTTGAAGCACCTCGGGCAGCGATGATACTCCAGGCCTGACTCCGTGGACGCTGGAGTCGCTGGATCAGCACTGGTCGCAGTGGTCTTGCAGGTCTGCGTGGTCTCTCCCGGCTTGGACGCCTGCTTGGTCTTCCCCAACTGCGGGCTCGACTGAGGCGTATTCGTAAGCTTTTCACCACTTGAGACACATGCTTCTTGTTCAAGCCTCGATGGCGGGTCTGAACACACCTCCCTGGCGCGTGAATCACGCGAAATGATTTCCAAAGTCGAACGCTCCAACAGGTCACTACAGCCCAGCTGAGCAGTAGCTGAGACGGCGTGAGGAACTGACGAGCATGAATCATCTGTACCGACAGCCACCTTATCGTGACTTTCGCCACTTGGAGGCGCCCGGAGCGGTTCATTTGCAAATTCTACCGCAGGTATCAACTGGCGAGACGCCTCTTCAGTAGGTTTACACGAACTCTCTTTGGCACTAGGTCTAATCAACCCTTTTTCAGGGGTGGAACTACGCAAGTCCACAGCAGGCATTGCCTTGCTCACATTTTCTTCACTTGATAACTCCCCTACACGGGATAGCAGTTCCTCGGGCGCGGCTCCCGCGGCTAACATCTGTTTCTTGTCCTGAGAGCTTGCCAGAAGTACCCCTTCTGCAGTGTTCGCATGTAATAATTCCTCGTCGGACAACCGAGGCACTTTCGCGTCAGTGGGCCCCCTGACAACATTCGGCCTCTTCCGAAGCTGCCAGACCAGAGGAAACATCCCTGTTGCTCACGAGAAGGGCATCCTCCTCCGATTTCGGTTGTTGGCACGCTTCCTCCCGAACCACTTGAGAGCAAGGCTCCCTCCTAAGGAACGAGCCAGGGCGTGATTCTTTAATCCCAAGTGGATTGCCCGACTCATCCATGTGTGAGGGCTCATGGACCAAGTCTTTGGGGGCTTGCAGTTGTGATTCCTGATCGGTTGGCTTATCATGACTTTCTATCGATTGGCTCATCGGGGCTTCGTTACCGTCCGAATGTGAATCAGTGGTTAATTCACTGACAGCTCTCTGCAAGGGGACTGACTGACTCAGCTCACTGTGAGACAAACGGCGTCGTGATTCAGCGTCTACTGTCGTCTCATCTTGAACGGTCTCCTCATTCACTGGCTCTGTTTGGTGGAGCTGGTCGCTCGACTCGGTCTCGACGGGCGCCTCCTCGCTGAGCAGCTGCTCACATCGCTGGTCACCGTGACTTGAATGACGGGTCAACGGCGCCTTCGGACCGGACGTAAGCCGTAATCTGTCCGCTAACGTTGTCCGGCCGGTCGAGCTCTTCTTGGCTGAAGAGCAGCTCGTCTCACTGCTTTGTTGCTGACGTTGCTTGACAGTCACCGTCCGGCTCGCAGGAGAGCGTCTCCGCCTGCTCTCTATATCTGTCGGTTGTTGGTGATAACTTTTATCGGATGGGGATGAACGGCCGGACCGATGTGGTGTCGAGCGGTGAAGCCCGTCTCCCTCTTGCACGTGGTGATTCTGACACCAGTCAGGTGCCGGGCCTGGACGAGAATTCCCCGAAGACCCCGAGCGACGGCGACGTCTGTCTAGTGCGAAGCGTCTCTCAGAGAACCAATGGTAACGCGACGGTTGGTGCGGCATATGATTGTCGCGGCCTTCTAGCCCGCCAACAGTGGCGCGATTCCCCACCAGACGACGAGCGATGCCGCGATCTGCTTCTTGCGCGCCGGTGGCATGTACTTTCCACGGACGCTGATCGAGGCCGCCTGTCGGAGTTCCGCTTTGGCGAAGACCTCTCCGCCGATGCCAAACGCCGGCATGACAACTCAGATCTGCGACGTCGACGAGATCTTTCCGGTGAACACAAGCGACGGCTGATCCTGCTCGCTGTGCTGCGATGACGGTCCCCTGATGTAGAGCGACGACGCGATCTTTCTTCAGACGACCAGCGCCGACGATATCTTAAGGTTGACGTGCTGTGTCTTAACCTCCTCCCGGGTGACCTCCGGCGGCCCTCGGCGTCGGTTGCGGACCGGCGGTGTGAGTCTTCACTAGACGACGAACGGCTCCATGACATCCCGTCAGTCACGCCGGGCGGTGCCACAACGCTGTGCGACCGACGCGCATGATCTAGCAGCTCCGTAGACATGCACTCCCTTCGGCAGACGGGACACGGCTGTTCTGACGACCCATCTGGAGCAGAGTAAACAGCAGACGGGACGTCACAGAAATGATCAGCAGCGAAACCTAATCATGACTGCTGGGACGGAGGTCAAATCAGTGTGCCACGACTTCCCTCGTTCCATCGCAACGAGCGTAACGAGATGCTACCATGCCGACCGCCACGTGGTGTCCGTCTACATGCCATGGTGTAACCGCTCTTAAAGTCGGTGGAGTCCGCGCTACAGCAGCGTTTGAGCACATCGGTCCATTTTTGTGTTCCACCCACAGAATGCGGCAGCAAACCGGAAGCAGACCACGGTAACATTTAAGGCGTGGCTAAGGCCGCGTTTAATGCATTCACAAATTTGAAACGATATCAACGAGCATCTCATGACTTTTAACTGGCGGTTTCACGTACAACAGCTGAGCCACGGTAACGAAACAAACGCCATGTCCATGGCGTCACCTGGTCGGGATGACAAGTGGAAGAAGGTCTCCCACGGCTCCCTGTGCACGGTCTGATGAACGTCGCAAACCAGCTCCTCCAGTCTGCGAGGGGAAAGAAGACTTAGCGTCTATCAGCTTTTGCAATGGCAGCGGAAATATCTGCTACACAACCCAAGCCGCAACTGCGGACAGAGCTTCCGTGAAGCTGTTTTTCGGCCAATGTTACGCTCACCGCACAACGCAGGCAACTGGGTAATGCTCACGTAGTTCCAGTTAGTTCGTGAAGTTAAGCATGACAGCAGCAACATCACAGAATGCGCGAGAAATCTCGCAACGTTCAGTACTCCTCAACCGGAAACGTCAGTTGTAGCGCCCTACCAACCTGACTGGAAATGGAGACGCGGTGACCAGGTACCTCTTACTTCTCTTTGACACGCTCCGCTCTTCTTCTGGATCGTACCAGCAACGCTTGATCGGCAATATTGCGGTGTGTCTTCTCTTCGATGCTTCCGAACCCCTTTCGTCTGATTTCGACAAGGCGCGCTTACTGCGTTCTACCGATTGATCGCATCTCTTTGAGGCTGCATTACCATCATCATCTGGATCCTCCCAGCACTGTTTTCTGGGCGAGATGTCAGTCTTCAGGCAGTTCAGCAGTTGCATACCTGCCCGTAGCATTTTTTGTGCCTGTCGTTGAGCGACTTTCTCTTGCACGGTAGCAGGTGTCATCGTTAAGCAACCGTCGTTACACACCCCACCGTCCTTCGAAGAGTTTAAGGCGACTGGCCACTTTGCAACTTCTGCTGTAGCTGTAACTAACATGAACCCTCGGCTCGCCTCTGTCAAGTTGGAGCGTTCTTTTCCGGCATGCTTTTCGCCGAGTCCAGTTTTCTTATCCCCCGGCACTTGTTTTCCATCTTCTGGAAAAACCCCTACCGATGTATTTCCGTGCGGCGCCCCCTCGCCTTCCACGGCTGCAGCCGGGCTATCCTCGTCCTGGTCCTCAGACTCAATAACGATGATTTCGTCCGTGAAGCTCCATGGCGAGTACAACGCGCGATCGGGCGACATGGACGCGTCCACAGGCGACACAACACTGCAGCTCGGCAGGTCAAGCCGCCCGCTTCCAGTCTCGACGGAGTCTGTCGCAACGCTGGACGGCGACCGGCTTCCCACGGGTGTCTGCGAAACGGCGCCTTTGGCTGCGTTAGCCGGTTCGTCACGTGACTTGGCGTCCACCTCGGATGGGCTTTCCGCGTCTAAGAGAGAAGCGGCACCTGTGACGGCATCGGCGAGTTCGTCACGTGATTTAGCATCGTCCGAAGAAAGCATTTCCACAAGCGTGACAGAGGCGATGCTTTTGACTGCGCCGGCGGGTTCGTCACATGTTTCATTGCCAGCCGCAGGTGGGATTTTGACAAGTATCGGAGTAGCAGTGCTTTTTGCCACGTCGATGGATTTGTCGCATTGGTTGCTATCATCCACGAATGGGCTTTCCAGATGCATTGGAGAGGGGATGTTTCTATTTGCGTCTGTAAGCTCATCCTGTGGTTTGTCATCGGCCGTGGATGGGCTTTCAACATGCACCGGGGGAGCAACGCCCTTGAATGCGTCCGCGGGTTTATCACATGGTGTAATGGCAGACGCTGATGTCAGGTGGCTCTTTTGCTGCGCCGGTTCGCGAGCAGAATTCCCGGCAATCGGCGGCATTTCGTCGACAATAACTGGCTTCACCTTTTCAGGAGTCTTCTCGGGGAATGACACAGACGTAGCCGCAGTGGGGGTTATTTGAACAGATATGAGGCATCTCGAGCTGACGGCAGCCCGCGCAGTCTCAGAATGTGATGGATCACATCCTGGCATGTTGCTGAGCACATCCGATGGATTCCATGACGGGGCTGCCGTAAGTCTCGGGGGTGGTGCGTGAAACCTCGGAGGTGCTACCTGAAGCCCAGGCGGTGGCGCGTGAAGTCCAAACGGTGATGGAGGTGACAGGGCGTGGAATCTCGGTGGTGGTCCCGGTGGGAGTGGTGTCGGGTGCACGCCCGCTGGTCCAGGAGGTGAAGCGTGTAGCCCCGGTGGCGGGTAGCGAGGCCCCGGCGGTGGCAGTTGAAACCCGGGTGGCGGCACGTGAAGCTCTAGCGGTACCGTGCGCAGTTCCGGCGCTGGGGCATTATGGGCGTGAGGTTCTGGACTCAAGCCGTCCTCCTTCCGCTTCTCCGCTTCGGGCGGATCGTTCGCCCCCGGACGGGAATTGATCTGAAATGGATTCAACGGAAGGAACCCGTTCTGAAGTTCGGCAACGCTTCTCAGGTGAGGGCCGAATCCCGTGAACAGCTCTTTTTTCACGTCCGGACAGATCACATCGCGCCAACTGCTCGTGAACGTGACGCGGTCCCGAGCCGGCGCCGGCAGTCGCTCGCTCTGAAGCGACACCAGATCGCAGTTGCCATACAGCCGCCGGATGGTGGTGGCGAACAGGGAGTCTATCACCTGGCGACTCGGCAGAGCCCGCAGGAAGGGCAGCCCGTATGCATCTGGAACACAGACACAACGTTTATTGTCACCGTAGACCTGCTGGGCGGGCAGAAGCTGAACTTCGATGCATCCGGCGGCTTCTCCAGCATAATAAGATTCTTATGAAGCAAAGTAGCAGCTTACGGAGACTTCAAATCACACCGCACAAGGACATGAGTTGTGTAGTGCACAAATTGGGTTCGATGACTGGAGAGATTCACTGGTTTATAACTTTCCTATTTATAGCCCTCTTATATGCTTCAGCAGCGTGACTTTAAGGCGGTATAAATTTTAGACCCTTCTTCGTTGAAGTAGTCTGATGTGGATGGGAAGCGCGAACGTCAGGTGGTTTATGAAGCATTTCTGCTCACTGCGCTGTAACGCGATGGCATCCAGTGCCGTGCTGCAATATTGGCAAAACGTGATTGTATCGAGTTCACACCGCATATTTGTTAAAGGGACCGACCCAAACAACTTCACTGAATTTTTCCTGGAAAGAGCACAAAACCCTGGTAAAAAACAGTTTCTCAGCCCACCGAATCCCCGATACTAGACATGCCGTTAATGTTGTACCTTGTCTTCCGCCGTAACCATGCAACGCCGCCATAATGGATGCACTACCAAGCAGTACTCGTGGCCCACTGAGTGCCGAGTTTTCAAATAGCGTGAAGTGTATTGCGGATTACCAATGCAGGTACGTAAAAGATAGCTATCGATGTCTTTACACAAAGCTCCATCTTTCAGACAACATTTGTAAAAGGAACTGAAATATACGGTAAAAATACGTGTTCGGGTTCCACGAAAGGGGATACAAGCAGCCTCAAACCTCGTCCCGCACTAAGGTGCTGTGAGTGAATAACGTAGAAAAATGTGTTCGCATCTCCTACATGCGCCACTGAGTTAGCAATTTTCAGATGGCGCCATAGCACATCAATTTTGAAATGGTTATCGATCTACGTCGGCTGCACCACAATCAGCCGATAAATATGACACACGCGTCCTAGGAAATATACTTATATCCTTTTGGATCACCTGTTCCCCACCTTGAATAAATTGTTGGGGTTTTTAGTTCATAGGAATTAAGATTTCGTCGAGAGAAATCAATCTCCGCTTAGTTCCGTATAATCGGCTCAGAAGCTCCCAAGACCTCACAGCGTCGGGTAGCGGGGGGGGGGGGGGGGCGTCTGCAATTCCCGGAATAGCTTTAGTGGGAAAACAGCGTTCATGGAGAGCCCTGCCGAAAAAGGGCTATAATAAGAAGTCTGCAAACATTGAATGGTAAGTAAAGAACGATTGAGAGGATCTACTACAACTTGTTGTATAAAAATACACGAATGAACGATGTACGCGTTCAGGGATACCATAGCTTTCTATATCTGTACCAAAGCTGTCACTTTATGGAACTTTACCCCCCCCCCCCCCCCTGTCACCCCGAGTTGGAAGAACGCCTCGCCTCGCATACTACGCTTTGCCGCAAGTCTGATCAGGCCTTTAAGCCCGGCAGCCACCCCATTTACACATGTTTCTTAGATAAGCATTACATGGTAAGTATTGTGGCCAACACGATACCAGAGGGGGAACCTTCTAGGACATCCGTCTTCAGCAATGACATTGATCTACCACACCTGAAACTGGAGCAAACCAAAGTTTCGTAGTTGTATTAGAATTGGGACTCGTCATCTTTCCGCCACCAATGTTCAGAGAGCTCGGCTGATAGTTTGGATTTCGCTGCTTTGTCTCAAGGTTTGAATGTAATACGCTTGATAGGTGTGTCTGTAAAATAACCATATTGTTTGCTTCTAGTGGCCTTCAGGTTCTTCGGTGGGGTGCCGGTAGTGTATTGGTTAGCGCGTCTGCGTTGGCTACTGCGCGCCTGGGAAACCAGAGGTACGGGTTCGATTCCCCGCGGTGCCCGCCCTTCCTGCCAGGGTGAGACGCAGGCGACGCCATATAGCCTCAGCAGCTGAGTGCGTCGTAAAGCCCCAATCACACACACTTCGGTTTCTGAGAGCGAACCAAACCCCACCAAATTTGACAGGTTTCATTTGTTACCAGCAATAGTTGGCTGAAAAGGCGATCACTGAGAGGGACACAAAAAGACGTCACACCATCAAACGAAGAGACTAAAAAAACTGTTGAGCTTACAGGGACTGCTACATCGGATACCTACCCTCCAAAAGTGCCCTCTTTTCCTGCGGGAGGGAGCAGCGTCCCCACGCGGACATGTCTCTGTTGCTCGCCCTATCAGCCGTTTTCCGTCTTTCGTGAGCATGAGCCGGTTCTGCCGTCCTCGTCTCACTTTTTTCCTTCCCTTTCTGCTTGCTTGTTTGTGAATTTTTTAGCTTCTCCCCTGAAACCACTGCCTTTGAAAGCTGTGTTTCTTGCTGGCTTTCAATGTTAGTATCAAGCAACGTTTTCCTGGAAGGCTGACTCAACATTGTTCGAACGTGGCCCAGCGCGGCTCGCACTGCTTTTGTGCACAGCTCCAGCTGCTTCTCTACAGTCAACCCGTGCCTTTTGTTCAGATTGTCCCTCGCCCTCTTAGCTCTAGTGAAAGTCTTTCCAACCTTTCTGTCGTGGGCGCCTTTTGATATGCTGTCGCTTAAGTTGTCCAGAAGCCAAAACGTTTTCTCACAGTAGTCATCGACGCACCTGGCGGCATCGTCGTCGGGCATGCCACCTGCCGCAGATTTGGGCGCCCAGGTAAACAACCGCGAACTCGTTTTCACTGGTGATGTCACAGGACCAGTTGGTGTGTCTGTCTGAGTGCCATGGTCTGCCTTCGTAACAGCCATTATGGGGGCCGAAACTTCCGCCGTAGGCATTTCGTCAGCAACGTGCGCCTTCCCTGAGTGGCCTCCGGCAAAGCCATCGACCTGCGTACTCTGGTCTGCTTTAGAAGAGCAGGGCGCGGGCAGATTACCTTCTGTTGCCAAATCACCATGAAGTTCCTCACCGCCCGTTGACTTCATGCCGAGCTCATGTAATGTTGCGGGAGCAGCTGCTGTTGCCTTTTCATCATCTGCAGCACTGGCAGCCACATCCGCTGGGAATGAAAATTCTTGAAATTCGTCTGTGATACTGACAGCACACTTGTCCACTGTGGATACCCGTGACCTAACGGCTTCATCTCGCGCTTGGGCGCCCTCCGGCGTCGGTGACATCATCGCGGCGCTTGCCTGCTCAGGCTTTGGTGAGGTTCCAACTGTCTCAGTCTGCGCGGAATGCACAGGTGTTTCTGGGCCCGGCGCATCGAGCGTTTCTGGGCCCGGTACATCGGATGTTTCTGGGCCCGGCGCATCGGGCATTCCTGGGCCCGGCGCATCAGGCGTTTCCGGGCCCGGCGCATCGGTCATTTCTGGGCCCGGCG